CGTGGGAGCCCAGGGATGTAGCCATTACGCCAACTGCTGGTCCCTTTATGATTTCTTTCTTTGAAGTGTATGTACTTCCTCTATGAGCAAGTGAGAGAGAGAGAGAGGGAGAGAAATAGCACCCTCAGAGGGTGCTAAAGCCATGATGCACCCCACAGCCTTCAGGCCTGGATCATGGGCACGCAGGTGCCCAACATACCCAGGGAGGTGTCCAGACTTGAACCTGGAACACTCCCGTGTGAGGCTGCCGTGCAGAGTGCCGCACTTCACTGCTGCGCTGTGGCCAGCCCCTGCTCTGTTTCTAAGTCGTGTACTTTGGGGAAGCCAGCCGCCACATCGTGAGGACACCACACTCTTCCACATAGTGAAGAACTGAGGCCTCCTGCCAACGGCCAAGAAGGCCCTGAGAGTGCCCGTCTGGGGAGCAGACCCTCCAGCCCCTGCCAAGCCTTCTGGTGACGGCAGACCAGCTGGCGCCCTAATGGTAGCCTCAGGAGTCCCGAGGAGCCAGAAACACCCAGCTAAGTCCCTTCTGGGCTCCCGACTCTCACGAACTATTTGGAATAATAAATGTTTGTTTATTAAGCTATACTGCTTTGGTGTAATGATTTAAGCATCTTTCTTATTTTATTTTATTATGTTTCAATTTGGTCCAAGACAGGGAAAGTGAGGTTTTTGTTTTGTTTCGTTTTTAATATTGGGATTGGGCCAGTAGGTGGAGTGATGGTTAAGGAGGCTGGATCCCACATGGCTATGTGGTTCTAGTCCGGGACCAGGCGGCTTGAAAGACCCGCTGAGTGCATGTGTGCGCACATCCAAAATTCCAAGAGGAGAATGGAGAAGAAGGGATTGCAGCGTGACCGTCACCCTGGGGGTGTTTTCTTTCTTTCTCTTTCCCCTCTGTCTCTCTCTCTGACTTTCTCCAATGAGTACAGGTGCCATCTAGCAAAACCAAAAAAATACATATATTTATAGATAAAACTAACTTAACTTACATAAATACATATCTGTAAATAAGGTGCTTCTATGCATTAATTTCATATTTTTTTTTTTAGAGTTTTTTTGCTTTAGGGTGCATGTGCTTGCCAGAGAGACAGAGACAGAGAAAGTGAGAAATCACCCACTGGGGGGTTGGTCACACTGCAATCCCTTCTCCTCCATTCTCCTCTCGGGATTTTGGGCATGCACGCACACGCGCCCGGTGTGTTTAAAGCCATCGGGTCTAGGACTCGAACCACAGTCATCCATTCCGCCTTGTGGGAGACAAGCCCCTTAACCACTATGCCACCTGCTGGCCCTTAACTTTCTATTCTTTCACAACCACATTGTTACCTTCTATTTAATTAAATAGTGAAGGGCGCGGCGGGGTCTTGCTGTGTCATGACCCTCCTGCCTTAGCCTCCTGAGGAGCTGGGACCAGAGGCACACACCTCCTTGTCCAGCTTTCAGGGTGGGCCAGGAGCGAACTGGGGCCTCCTGTATGAGCTCAGTCTGCCAGATAGCAGCAGCAACACCGCTGGCCCTCATAGCTTTATGTACTTATTTATAAATGGCCGGAGAGCAAGTGCGCTTGTCAGAGACAGAGGTGGGGAGAAGGAAAGGGCACGCCTCCCAGCCGGCACGGTCGCACTGCCACCCGCTCTCCCACTTCTCCATCCTGCGTGGATCTGGGGCTCACGTGCACATGCGCCCCACGCAGTTCTCAAGTTGCCAGGGCTGAGACTCGAATGCATGTATGGCCGTGTGGGATCTGGCTCCTTAACCACTACAGTATGGGATCGGCCCTGAGCCTAATATATTTTAATATCTTGGCTTTAGAGCCCTCTTTTATTTTTATTAGAATTATTTTATTTAACTTTATTATTATTTTGCAGGGTTTTTTTTGAGAGATTTTCGCTATAGGGTGCATGCTCTCATCAGAGAGACAGAAAGCAAGAAATCATCCCACAGAGGGTTGGCTACGTTGTAATCCCTTGTTCAGTCTCCCCTTGGGATCTTGGGCATGCATGTACATGTGCCCAGCATGAGTTTTCGGCCACTGGATCCAGGACTTGAACCATGATCGACTCCACTGGAATGCAGCGACATACCCATGACACCATCTGCTGTTCCCCAGTTTTGATCAGAGAGAGAGAGAAAGTACGAAAACAAGCCACCAGGTCCGGGACTCGAACCATACATACTCAGTCATGTAGGAGTCCAGCACCTTCAACCTCCACACCACCTGCCTGCCCCTTAGATCCCTTTTATTACGCTCCTGTCGTGAAATTTTAAAGCCTGTTTTACTTGTTTATTTACTTCTTTGGACAACTTTTACAATGCCTGTGTCAAATTAAAAATAAATAATAACCCGGGGCCGGCAGATGGAGTAATGGTTACGTTGATGGACTCCCATGTAGTCGATGGCAGTTCTGAGTCCCAGACACAGTGGCATAAAACTCACAGCGGGGGGACCAGCAGTTGGCGTAATGGCTATGTTGCGGGACTCCCACGTAGTCGACTGCGGTTCGAGTCCCAGACCCGGTGGTTTAAACTCATGCTGGGCGCGTGTACGTGAGTGCCCCAGATCCCGAGAGGAGAATGGAGGAGAAGGGATTGCGGCGTGGCCATCCCCCCTGGGGGGTGATTTCTCACTTTCTGTCTCTCTGTCTCTCTCTGTCTGGCGAGCACACGCGCCCTATAGCAAAAATCTTTCCAAGAAAAGAAAAAAAAAAAAACAAACTCACAGCGAGTACGTGTACTGGTCCATGATCCCAAGAGGAGAATGGAGAAGGGATTGTGGGTGGTGTAGCCATCCCCCTTGGACGGTGATTTCTCGTTTTCTGTCTCTGGCAAGCACACATTCCCTTTAGCAAAAATCACTAAAAAAAAAAACAAAAACAAATCCACAGGTGTCAGGGTTGAATTTGCACTGGGGACCAGAAGCTGGCATAATGGCTGTGTCGCTGGACGCCCATGTAGTCCACCGCAGTTCGAGTTCTGGACCCGGTGGCTTAAACTCACACCGGTCGCGTGTGCACGCGTGTGCTCAAGATCCTGAGAGGAGAATGGAGGAGAAGGGATTGCGTCGTGGCCATTCCCCCCAGAGGTGATTTCTTGCTCTCTGTCTCTCTGTCTCTATCTTTCTGGTGAGCGCA